GAAACGAGTTTCTGTAGAGCCAGAACTGAAATAAACTTATTTATTTGAAGATTTCTGCTGCTGCTAGTAGTCAAGATGGAGAGCTTCCACCAATGTTGTTGGGCTTGCAGAGCGAGTTTTCATCTGCCAGGTGCCCTCTGGATATCTTCAGCTCACAGTCAGTGAGATGGTGCTAGTGAGGAATCATGATGTGAAAGTGCTGAAGTTCCTCCGGGAAAGCTTGCACTTGTTGTGTGTTGCTGCTTTGCAACCAGTGAGATAGAATTGATATAGCATATCTGATAAATTACCACTGCCTTTCTTGTACATGGGAGAATGAGACAGGTATCTGTAAGGCAGCATAAAGTGCCCAGACCAGTCACATTATTTTGCAGTTTTGCTCTTATGAGATATTGCAAAGAAACTTCCATTTTAGCAGAATCTTGATGAAAAATGCCCCCTTTCCCCTCCCCTAGGATCCAGCTCTGTTCCCTTTAAGAAGACTGTATCCTCAAATGTCTGTAAAAGTTTTTAGCCTCAGTTTTTCATTAACTTCTCTGCCTTCTCTTTGCAGATATGAATGAGGAGCGGTTGGGTGATGCCAGTGGAGGAGACAATGCTGAGACCTACAGTGACAAAGACACAGACCAAAGGAGTTCTCCAGACATGACTAAAGCCAAAAGTGGCTTCCCTCCTGAAAGCCCTGAAATTGTTTCAGTGGATGAGGTTGGTTATGCAGTTCAGAAAAATGGAGTGAGCACAGAGAGCCGTCCAGACAGTCCCAAGTACCACCCAGAGCAGAACCACCTCCTGATAGAAGGTCCTTCTGGGACAGTTTCTTTACCATTCAGTTTGAAAGCCAACAGACCTCCACTTGAAGTCTTGAAAAAGATCTTCCCTAGCCAAAAGCCAACTGTGCTGGAGTTGATCCTGAAGGGGTGTGGTGGTGATCTCGTGAGCGCTGTAGAGGTTCTCCTGTCCAGTCGATCTTCGGTGTCCAGTGGGGAGAGAACGTCTGCAGAATCTGATGGTCTTGTTTTGCCTTCAAACGGGCACATTTTTGAACATACACTGAGTTCGTACCCTATTTCCTCTTCCAAGTGGTCTGTGGGCTCAGCATTTAGAGTTCCTGACACGCTGAGGTTCTCTGCCGATTCCAGTAATGTTGTGCCAAATCCTCTGGCTGTACCTTTGCAGCACCCTTTCCCTCAGCCTCCACGCTACCCATTGATGCTGAGGAACACCTTGGCAAGAAACCAGTCCAGCCCTTTCCTGCCCAATGACGTCACCCTGTGGAACACCATGACGCTGCAGCAGCAATATCAGCTGCGGTCCCAGTATGTCAGTCCTTTCTCTAGCAACTCAGCCAGCGTTTTCCGAAGCTCACCTGTCCTTCCTTCCCGCTCGTCAGAAGATCCTAGGATCTCCATCCCTGATGACGGCTGTCCCATTGTGACTAAGCAACCAATTTACACAGAAGATGAATATGATGAAAGGTCTGATTCTTCAGACTCAAGAATACTCAACACATCTTCTTAGACTGCCATTTGACACATGATAGTTACATGATACCTGCAGTGCAGCTGAACTACTGGGCCCTAGGAGGAGGGACAAATACTCTACAAAACCCTTGCAATTGTATTAAATAGTGACTTTGCTTGGTATTGTACTATAGCAATAAAGACATAATTTATTTAATTTCTTGCACTTCACTGGATAATGCCAAATAGCAATACTCTGGCTTTAGTGCTGAGTGTGTATTACAGAGGAAAACTTTACAGCTATCAGTTACGGGACTCCGGAAGACTCGTAATGGAAACAGAAGCCCAAGGTCTACTTCGCTCCTTAACTCAGAAAAAATGGGGATGTTAAACTAGAATACTTGAATGCTGTTTTATAAGAGAGAACTCCTCAGGACATAAGTACTGAAACAAACGTAGTTCAATTGCAAAGGGACTAAAACCAGGACTTTACAATCTTATGCCAGTGATCATCCTAGCAGTGAAAGAAAAGGCAGAAAAAAGAAATATGCACATGAAACTAGCATGAGCTGCTTCTGTGCTGTTTGAGCTTTACATTTTTCAGAGATATAATATTAAGAGTTATTCTTTTCCCATGGCTAGTTTGAAATGTGTAACGTCAGTGTAAAACCAATTACAGCTGTGAATTGCATGAAGTGTATTGTGAAATGAACACCAGATTAAGCATTGTCAGGTTAATGTAGCATGCTAAGGACTCTAGAAAAATAAACTAAGATGATGATCTTGGTTTATGTCATTTATACTGTGCAAATAACATTTCTGAAGATAGAGAGATGATTAGTCCTCAGCCAGGGTTAAAATGTACAATTCAAACAACTGCAGTCAGGGGAAGCGTCTTTTTCCAAGTCTGGGTTCTGCTTCCCTGCCTTGTAGCTTGCAGCTGAGGTTAGTCAAATGTTGTCATCAGGAATGCTCTTGAGTTTCTGCAGACACTTTCAAGCTCAGCTGAGTACAGCCGAGCTTGTTTCAGTCACAGCAAGCAGAAAAAATCCCCAAAGCAATGCTGTCTGAATACTCAGAAGCATCTTTTTTTCCCCATACACTAGAAGTAGAAAAAAGGAAATAGGATATTATAGCAGGCATTTCTTTAAAATAATGTTTAGCCAAATGGCAGCTTCCCTAAATCTAGAAAAATAATGGTTAGAACAATTTATTGCATGTTTGCATGCATTGATTACACTGCATATCTTGTGTGTGTCAGAGTAACATTACGACTTGCTTCTGATGAGAAATGCCACTATAGTAATTGTCCACTTATAAGTTTGTTAAGGTTTTAGTGCCGTTTTTCCAACCATTCACAAGTGACTGCATCTGCTTGACAGCTGGCTTTTCCAAAATGTACTTCTGCATGCAGATGAAATGGCTGTCAGGCCTGTCATGCATATGGATTAGTCCCACACCTCAAAAACAATTGAGGCTGCCCTGAAGTTGGACTCTAAGGCAGATGGGCTTTAAAACTGTAATATATATCAGGCATGTTATCAGGTGTCATTGCTGATGTGAATGCCTGTGTTCTCATTTGGCATTTCACATTTTGTAAGATTTGTGCACCCAGTGAATCTTGCAATTTATAAGGGTGCTGAACACGCACAAAGAGGAGAATAAAATAATTATTTTATTTTCCTGGGGATAAATGAACAGAAAAATACTTTTTCTTGCACAATTTTACAACCTGTTCAGAAATGCAATTTTTTTTTGGTAATGCTATAAGGCAAAGACATAAAGGCAGGAGGAGGGAGGAAAGAAAATAAATAGCTTCTCTTATGGAAGCGTAAATGTGAAAACACTCGGAATTTTTATGAATACAGAATTACCGTTTAGTACTGACAAGTTTGCCTGCACTCACATGGCATTTGTAAATAAATTAATCTTCCAGCCACTCCAGAGAGAAAAGTAATAGGTAAAATAGGCTTGATCTTGCAAACAGAAAGGGATGAGGTAGTGAAATGCTGTGATCCAGCAGTTCAACATTATGGAAAAATTAAGAGCGAAAGGCAAGAGAAAAACTTATAGGTCCAGGAGTTCTGGTTTTGAGTTCAGGTACAGGCATCTCTGTAAACTGAGGTTTTGGTGTTTTTTTTAATTATTATTTTTTTTATTTGCCACAGAAGGTAATTAATTTCCAGCAGAAAGAGCACACAGTGTCACCTGCAACAGCTCATAGTGACATTACACACTATGGCCTGTGGGTTTTCAGAGAACAGAACTTTGTCATCTTGGAATTGGGACACATTTTTCAAAGAAAGGTGACCCTTGGCTAATGTGGAGTGAACTACTGTTATTCTAAATACTTGTGGTGAAAAAAAAGATTAAGTGGTATGATTTTTAAAATTAGATCTTTTTTGATAAACCGTTTTCTGAAAAAGCAAACAAGTTAAAATAATATTTTCTAGTGTTATAATACATCTTTTGACTCGATTCACAGTCACCTTTTATTTTCCCCCTGAAATAAAGTAAACCTAAATATGTTCAAAATCAAAACGTGCAAGCTTTGATGATGAACATTTTTTTTATTTTTTTTTATTATTATTTTTTTTTTATATCACACTGCATACTGGCTATCCAGATTAGTTTTTTACAAAATATGGACTGGCCTGCAATTATATCTTTGGTAAATGACTTTAGTCTCCCAGCCATATTTTCCAGGCTGGCACTGCAGACAGAGTTTTAAACTTGCATCTATGACACAGCGAGGACGTATTGGTGTGTTGGCCGGGCCTCTTTCTGCCCCTGCAGTGCCGGGACCTGCTCCACAGCTGCTTGCCAGGCTGGCGGGGGTGCCCACGCACTCCCACCGTCTCAGCGTGGGCAGACGAGGGGTGAGCGAGCCCCTTTTCTGCAGAACTCTGTGTCCCGCCCAGCAGCCGCCCCCACAGATTGGGTGGGTCCCAGCGGGGCTCAGGCCGGGCTCTCACCGGGCTGTGCCAGCGGTGCCGGCGCAGCGGGCGGCAGCAGCGCTGAGTCTGGAGCCCGCAGAGCGCCCTCGGCCCTGCAGCATCCCTTCCCGAGCCGCCGCGGCCGGGAAAGGGCCAGGCGGCACCCGAACCCTGCGTTGTCCAACTCCATCTTGTGGTTAAAAAGGGGTATTTCCATGTTGGAGCAAATGCTTCGTGTTGTGGAACGGCGAAGGGGTGTGAGTGAGGAAGGCATTGACGCTTGGGAACGCCCAGCAGAAAAAATTAATTTAAGCATCAAGAGCCTGACGAGGCCTTTGCTGAGGTCCAGAAGCCAAAGTGGGTGTTTTGCTTTGCTTTGCTTTGCTTTGTTTCTTTAGGGGTGCTAGAGCAGCTGTGGCTTTCTCGAAGCAAGAAAGCTTCAGCCCTTGACAGCTGCGCTGTTACTGATCCTGTTTGAGCAACTGCTCAGATGCTTCTCTGAGGTGCCCTGGGGCTACTTTTTGTCTTGTCAAGCAGGTGATTTCACTGCCAACTGGCTGTGAACGTGCACAAAACCAACAGGCACTGCCATGGGAAGCTCTCTCTCCTTGTTCTCAGAAGCATTGCAGGCCCAGAGAGCAGAGAGGTGCTCCCTGCAGGGGCCGGCTGCTGCCCCGGGGGCACGCTGCTTCATCCCTGCTCCTTGACCTCTAGCTGTAACAAGGCAAATGATGAGATGATGTAAACAGTAACAATAATGATTTCCCCCTCAGAATAATGCTGTGGAGACCCCTAATGCGATGCTCGCATTCTCCAGCAGCTCACACGCCTACGGATAAGGGAAGAGTCAGGGTGAGGGGCAAGTGCAGTGCAACGTGGATGTCCTGTCCCGAGCTCCTGCCTTTGCAAGTGATTGTGCTGCTCCCCCTGGAGCTCCCCGACTTACCCTCCTTAGGGGCCTGAAGGGCCACCTCTGCAACATTTGTTGGATGCTTGGTGAACAGGCTCACCTCACATTTGTGCTGACATCTTTGAAAAATGACTTTGATTCTTTCAGTATACTGTTTCAGTGATTCATTCTTTATGTGCATTTACTCAGCGGATGTGAGTGGGGAAATAAGATTGATGCTAAATTTATATGTTAATTTTAATATTGAAGCTATCCTGTATTTGAAGAATAAGATCAATTCTTCAATTTCATTTCTTGCGTGATATTGCATATTATCATTACTGGAAAATAAAATTATTTCTGAATGCATACTATCCAAACTTCAATTTTAGTGGATGTATATCTCTGAAGCATTATTCTTCTCCCTTTCCCTATGGCAACTAACTTGATTCAGTATTTTAACATTCTTGCACTAGTCTGCCACTGGAAGATAAAAAAGACAGGCTTCTCACCCTAAATGGTGTTTTGTTAATGTGTTCCCTGCACCGTCACAAGCAGATTTTGTTCATGACTCAGCATCTCTCTGTGGGCTGTTGCACATATGATACAACAGGAATCTCTGCATCCCTTATTAGAGATTAATTCCATTAATTTCCAAAATAGCAGCAGTGCTTGAGAACCATAGCCACATCTATATGCCCAGCATGTCCGTATACAGGATGAATCCTGACCTTAAAGGGAGGATCAAACCCTTAGAGCACTACCTGGAAGCAAAACCTGCAGAGGATGGATAGGGAGCACTACATACACAGAAAGCTTAGGCGCCTGCAGAGGGAGATGTACTTTAAGGAGGTCTGCTGCCAGAGACCAGGGTCTCTTGAAGCTGCAACAGAAAGAAAATACAGCACCTTTGGGAGTGTGGTTTGCTATTTTTTGTCTTTGCAAGCTGTGCAGGAGATTAAGCTGAGGAATGGACAGCATGATTTTTTGCAAGGTTACCTCCTTGCTCTGCACACTAACCTGAGGAAGATCACATAGATGAGTTTAAATTTCCAGTGTCTCTTTTTGTCTCTCCATGAGATAAGGATAACTGCTACCAGGATTTAATGGCTATTATCTGAAAATTCTTTAAAAACTGAAGTGCGCTGCAAACATGAGAGCAGAGCATAGTATTTCCCAAAGCACTGAGTATAAGATCTAGTTTCTAATTTTTTCTCTTCCAGAGAGAGAGGCTATAGCTTTCCCATAGCTGAACACTGCCTGTCTTCAGCAAGAGAATTCCCCTGAAAAGGTAAATTGAGGATAATCCTGAGATAATCCTGCATCCTGCCACTGGCATACAATGGCTAAAAGTTCTGAGACCTAAGGTAAACACTGCTTGGGTTTTTCTGTCATACTTGTGAGCCTGTAGACTTCTTACATTCCAACTT